CTAGACCTCAACCAAAAGTGAGGTCAACAGTAGGTCAACACTTATCCAACCCAGGTTCAACTCAATTCTAACCCAAGTCAACTCATGTTCAACCCAGGTTCAAACAAGGTCATCCCACATCAACCTAAGTTTAACCTAAGTCAACCCAGGTCTAACCCAATTCAACCCAGGTATAACCTAGATCAACCCAGTTCTAACCTAAGTCAACCCAGGTCTAACCTAAATCAACCAAGGACCAACCTAGGTCTAACCCAGGTGTTCCAGATCTAACTCAGGTCAGCCAAGGACCAACCTAGGTCTAACCCAGGTGTTCCAGAGTGCGACCCAAGTCTAACCTGGTCCAACTTAAGTCTAGACCAGCTGACCTCATATAACATTTATGCTCATTTTTGGGTTGATCTTTACTAGAAGCCTAGTTTATCTCAGCTCAACCCCAACCTAAATCTAATTCAAGCAAAATCATGTTTCATGTTTAGCTTCATAAATCATGTTTAATTTCATAAATCATCTATCTTGTTTAGCTTCACAAATCTTGTTTTGTTCTATGTGTAGCTTCAAACAAAATAAAAATGACAAAAGAAAGCACATAAAATAAAAATAAGGAGAACCTCTCATCTAATGGTTCTCTTCATAAACATTACCTAAAACCAAAAACTTAGGAAACCCTTCATTTTTCACTGCAACTAACAAACCTAGGAATTGAAATAAAGCACGGATTAAATACTGAAACTTAAATAACATCTAAAACATACCATGCTAAATAACAGAAATCAAACCTTGGTAGATCTGACACGAAACCTTGGTTAGCCAACTTAGATGTAAAAATTGAGAAGCAAAAACTTACTCTAGGTTAGTTTAAGTATAAAAAATTAGGTTATTTTAATAGGTGTTCTAGTTAGTATTATGGACTAGGACATACAAAACAAATAACCAACCCTGTGAGACTAGAGGGAATACCTTAAGATGTTGTAACCCATGGTTACTGACAAGGATATTTCAGACCTCCTCAAAACTATGAGTCCTCCAAATGCCATGATCATGATCTGGTTATGAGGTTGGTTATAGTTGAAGGATACCATTATCCCCGAGATAACGGAAAGTCATGGGCATCATGTTATTCTCAAATTTTAGGTTAGTCCGCCCATTAGGATTTCTTATAGAGTCTAGGGTTTCAATTTTCTCTAGAAATCCTTCTCACCCAACGATGTCCTTTAGCTTAGGAGTTCTAATCACTACAGTCAATCAACTCGAGTCTTCCTAAGTTAACTTTTAACTCTACTGACTAGTTCAAATTTCTTATGAGGTCACTCCAAATTCCTTGACTACCATTCTTCAGGTAAACCTTCTTCCCCGGATTATTAAGTCCTTAAATCTGAGCCTTTTCTATGATACATCGTCATCAAACTATAAGTCCCATCTCTTTGACGTCAATTCTTCATTCATTTTCAATTATGAAAGTCCAACCTTCATAACTTGACTCATTATAATAATTGAGAGTTTTCTTTAGGACTGACACTTCTAAAGGTATAATAAACTACGAGGGCTTACCCTTGTAGGAAACAAGAACCCATAATAAAATAACATTATATGACACCTGGTGTAGAAAAAAGCCATAGTTTCATAGGCTTACGAAAACTTTCGCCAACCTTGGATTAGGCCCATTTTTTGGTAATATTTTCTTCCTTTGAAAAGATTTAATATTCTGCAAATTGTTGTGATCGACCATCTAGATAGAAGTCTTCCAAAAAGTTTTATGGTGTCTGGTGACACAAAAGTCCCTCATCAAGGATTTTTTCTGGATACTTTGCTGGGGACTTATTCTTCTTTCCATCCTTTATATTGAGTTATGTATCATATGTATCCTCTGCAGATTCAAACTACTCATCATTTGTATCCCCCTCTCCTGGACCTCTATCATAGTGCTAGACCAAAATCGATCAACCATTTGGTGTAGGTCATACTTAGACCTCATCCATAAAGCAAATCAACACTTATAGGAGGTTTGTGGTGTCAATGCGAAGCTTCTCAACCAAACCAATCGAGAACTCACCTCTTGGGCAAAGTTATAGCTCAAAAATCTTTAAATATCTCCTAGTTTTGGTTTTTGTGAAAAAAATGAACAATTCATGTCCACTTAGCCATATAAAAAGGTTCGTCTCACTTTGTTGAAGCTATAGAAACAAACCCCATCGAATTTGGTTGAGAATTGAGTGAGATCTTAACCCTAAACCATTGACGGTCCTCACATTATAGTTTATTTGGAATGAAGATCGGATGCCATCCGTTTCCATGTATTTAAAACATATCGCACA